AGACTCGCTTTCAGTTTTTCAAAGAAACCTGCAGTAATATTTTTCCACACCTCCAAAGTTCAGTCTTAGAAGTTGGTTGAATTTCCTGCGTCTCACGATCCAAGTCATCCCAAACACATTCAACGATGTTGAGGTCTGGACTCTGGGGTGGTCAGTCCATTGGTCTGAGAACACCAGCAGCTTCTTTGTCTGATGTCTGTCTCCTTTTTTCAGTAAGAGCTTCCTGACAGCTACACACCCTTTCAGACCGACAGCACTGAGTTGTCTTCTCACAGTGGAAGGATGGACAGAAACACCTGTGGATTGCTCCTCCTCTCTCTGATGGAGATGAAAGCTTTGTGTGCTGTTTATCTGATGGGAACAGTTTTGATGGTCTGCCAGGTCTTGCACAGTATGTAGGACATATATGAAATGGCCTATATATCGAATATAAAATATACACAAGTTCCATAGAGCTGACAGTGTTCTGTAACTACTGAGTGAGTTTCTCTCTTTTTTTGCGCAGTAGAATAAAAAGTGTGTCAGTGCAGGCCTGGCCAGGCAGCCTTATGAATATAATTACATTATAGCTAGAACAGGCGAGTGTGCAGTGCTCTGACAGAAGTTATTAAGATGATTTTGAGCGAGAGGGGATTAACTGTGACATAGTTTTGGCTTGTGTCAGCGGTGCCACGATCCCTTCCACCGCTGTTAATCTCTCTGTGTGGGTGTGAGAGTGTGTGTTTTTGTGTGGCAGCGTGTGTAGATGTGTGTCCTGTGCTAGGGATGAACACTAGCGTTAAAGATGAGTGTCATGGAATGTGGGAAGTGTGTGTTGTCACTCATCTCTCGCACTCTGGAACATCCTACGCACCTACAATAGCACAACATGAAGAGGCAAAATTACTGCCTTTTAGAATAACCAATATTAATTTTATCTGTTTATGTTGTTTTCAGTCTTTTCGCCCTTTTTCACTTAGTTGACATTTTACTGCAGGTGTTTTTACATCTTCAGCTGTGGGCAAACGTTTGAACACCCTCAGTCAAATCAGATGTTTTGTTGAGTTTCTAAGTGAAAATAGGTTAACACCTTCTCTACAGGGAACAAAACGTAAATATGACATTTGATTGCTAATTGTAGTGCACAAATTATTTTTATTTGCTGAGTTTAACATTTTGGAATATCTATAAATAAAATAATGCGCTGTAACTTTTATACAGGTGACATTTTTATTTTTCTCCAATACATTAAATTCAGCAAATAAACAGTTATTGTGTATTAAAATGTGCAGAAGTGTGTTCTCTGTAGAAGATGTGTTAACTTATTGTAGAAAAGCAACAAAACATATAATTTGACCAGGGGCGCCCAAACCTTTGCATAAGACTGTATTCTTTTCTCTCTTCTTGTGTTCATTTTTAAGGTTGTAAATGGAAACTGCTGCATAAATGTTTTTATATGATGATGATAATGATGATTAACAATAATAATAATAATAATAATCCTGTAACACACATTTTTATTCTTTCTCCTGTAGCCTAAGCTCTGTTAAATATGCACACATCACACAGTATTAAGCCTACCTGGCCTTAATTCTCTCTCTCTCTCTCTCTCTCTCTCTCACACTCTCTCTCTCTCTCACTCTCTCTCTCTCTCTCTCTCTCTCTCTCATATCTGTCTATCAGTTAGGTAACTCTGTCACTGGGTCAGTGCAAGCTTATGATTTCACTGTCTTACATAACACGTCAGTCCACACTGATTGTTTCTACTCATTACATGTGTACTGTCTTTGTGAGTTTGTGTGTGTGTGTCTTTGTGTGTGTGTGTGTCTTTTTGTGTGTGTGTGTGTGTGTGTGTGTGTATGCCTTTGTGTATGTGTCTTGTGTGTACGTGTGTTTGTTTTTGTATGTGTGCATCCGTGTGTACTTTTGTGTCTTTGTGTATGTCTTTGTATGTTTGTGTGTGTGTGAGCGTGTGTGTGTGTACTTCTGTGTATGTGTGTCTCTATGTGTACATGTGTATGTGTGTGTGTCTGTACAAATGTGTGTGTGTGTAAATGTGTGTGTCTGTGTGTACTTGTGTGCCTTTGTATGTTTGTATGTGTGTGTGTGTGTGAGTATGTGTAGGTGTATGTGTCTGTGTATGTCCATTTGTGTGTGTGAGTGTATATGTGTGTGCGTGTGTATATGTGTGTATCTTGTGTGTACATGTGTATATGTTTTTGTATGTGTGTGTATTTGTGTGTTGGTATGTGTGTGTGTGTGTCTGCATACTTTTGTGTACGTATGTGTGTCTGTGTACGTGTGTGTGTGTGTCTGTGTCTGCGTGTTTTTTGTTTGTATATGTCTGTGTGTGTGTGTGCTTCTTTGTGTACGCATATGTATCTGTGTGTCTCTGGGTGTACGTGTGTGTGTCTGCGTGTGTCTTTGTGTGTGTGTGTGTGTGTGTGTGTGTGTGTGTGTGTGTGTGTGAGCAGGTGCAGCTCAGATTTTCACTCGTTTGGTCCTGCATCAGTGATCTGATGTCTGTGCTGGTCCTGTGCTGATAAAACATAATCAAAGTAAAAGATTAAACATGCTGTAGCTGAAGACGTTTGATTTCTCTGACAGCAGCAAAATATAACATCACAGTTCTTTTGCATTACTTATCACAGTTTAGTTTAGATATTTCTGACGTTTGATAAGCTGGAACTTACAGAGTCACATTTAAAAATGTACAGTAATTTTTTACTTCCTGTCATATACTGAACTGCACAAAATCCACATGAACAGGACTAACTGTGCTCTTTCAGTAAAGAAACATGCAGTTGGCCAGTGTTCTATACTGACAATATCCATGATATGCTGGGAAAAGTATATTGTGACATAATTTATCACAATAACAATAAAATATTGTAAAATTGTCCAGCACTATTTTGAACCTCTTAAACCTTAAAGACTCGTATTTTGGCCCACACTTCAGTTCCTCACTCTAACAAGCACATAACTTACATATTGTTATTATTATTGCAGTGTAGTTATCGAGTGATTTATACCAGTTATTGAATAATAAGTCTTATGATTGGTAACTGAATAATAAGTCTGCACATTAAGAAGCTGAAGGTTTTTTTTACTTTTTTGACAGCATGGCATTTATCCAAAAATGTGGTTCCATCAACACATTTCGCTTTTGAGAGCAAAAAATGAGATTTGAAGCCTGAACTGTTATATGGCATTATTTGGTTGTCATATTTGAAATGGATTATCCATCTCTTTAAGTGTTCAGAGAGAGCAGTTTTCGCCTTGTGGAGAGATTTGTCATTCATTGTGTAACACAGTTTATTCAGTTATTACTTGGTCGAGTAATTCATGTTGAGACACAATGCTTGTTTGACTTTTAATATCACTTATATTACCAAAATTATTACTCCAGAGTTTCTCCTGTAGTCTATACTGATCTGGAGGGTTTGGGGAGTTTTCTGCTTAAACTCGTCTGATTAATTAGACATTAGGTTTAGTAGGTTTAGTACAGGGGTCAGCCCTGTTGCGGCTCCACAGCAGAATCAGATTTTTAGGTAAAAATAAAATAATCCTCCTTTGCAGTAAAATAAAGCTCTGCTGATCGTTTTAACAGTTTTAACAGTAAATTGTCTGAAGTTAATGTAGAACTGTTAATTCACCCTTTAACACTGAAAGTTGGCGCACAGACTGCTGGTCACTATAGCGACGCAGATAACAATCTCCCCAGCTAGTAGCTAACGATAAGACAAAGAGAAAGATTTAAGACGAACATCGATAATTTGGAGATGAGCTGAGTTTTGCGTTTATAATCACTCCAGCTGGTTTTCTGATAAGTTTAATCTGCAATGAGAAACTGACAAACAGTAAAAAGTCATGAAGCTGAAGGTCAGCTTCTTGTTTGAATTTTCCCATTCCTTAAATGGTGCAGCAGTTACATTCTGGCGCCTCAGGCACAATTTAAGGTGGAACGGGTAAATTCGAACAAGAAGCTGCAGAATGAGAAGCTGATTTCAGCCTCGTAAAAAGTCTAACGTTGAGAAACATTTTACAATAAACTATTTTACTATTCTAGGAAAAGTTTCCTGCTAGAGATACGAGAAAAGTGGCTATAGCTGAGCCAAAGCTTAAAGCAGAGCAAAGTAAGTCTGCGTTTTCGTTTATATTATATTTTTCAGTCTATATTAGGACATTTTAAAAATCTTTTCAACCAAGATGATAAAATGTTACTTCAATAAAATGGACTAAAAATGTTGTAGTTTGATTTTGTTGAGAGGACAAAATGGCTCTTCTTAACATTTGGGTTGCCGACCCCTGGTTTCGTAGGTGTGTTTGAGTAGGGAAACCATCAAACTGTGCACCAGGACTGGACTTCACCCCTGCTTAGGTGGAGCTCAGGACCTAAAGGGCCATAGAAGCACAAGGAGAGCATTCAGTTCAGTGTCAGTGTAGCTCCCAAACCCTTCATGTAGTGTAAATGTAAAGAAATACCTGGACAGTGGTGAAGACCATCATACCTAACTACCTTTGAATTTCCATTTCTACCTTCTGTTTTCGATGTCAAAGTTTTTGCACCCTGCCATCTCCCTGTGTCCTTCCAGTTCCTCAGTCTTATCTCTGAGTGCTTCAAGAAGTCTGATCTTCTGGTTTAAGGCGAAAGCTGCCCAAGAACTCCAGCCCGAATTCTTCCCTTTTATAGTCTCATATGACTCTTCAAATTTCAACCTTCTTAAAAATAAAGGTGGAAAAGGGGTCTTTTGAAATCATGCTATAAGTGAACTTCTCTTAATTCCTTAATGAATGTTTCAGTGTATGGTTCTTTGAAGAACGTGTTAAGAACCTTTTTAAAATCCAGTGATGCTCTACAGTAATGTAAAGGTTCTGTATCAGGGGTCACCAGTCATACCAACAAAGAGCTGCTGTGGCTGCAGGTTTTCATTCCAATCAGCAGAAGCATCGTTCCCCATTTCATCAACTGTTCTCAGTCTTCAAACAGTTTCACACTGTAAATGATTTGTGTGTTGCAGGTTATTTCCGGGATCTGCTAAACCGCTCTGAGGCCTCTCTCCAGGACTCCTTCCAGAGGGGTTTTGGACCACTCTTCTCCCAGAACTCCCGGGTTTTCCAGGATCTGTATTCAGATCTGCGGCTCTATTACCGTGGCTCCAAAATCAACCTGGAGGAGTCTCTCAATGACTTCTGGGCTCACTTGCTGGAAAGGCTGCTGCGTTTCCTCAACACACGATACACCATCAGCGAGGACTACCTGGAGTGCGTGTCCAAGCAGTCAGAGACGCTACGGCCGTTTGGGGAGACGCCCAGGGAGTTCAAGCTGAAGGTCACTCGCACTTTCGTGGCAGCCAGGTCTTTCGTGCAGGGGCTGGTGGTGGCAGGGGAGGTGGTCCGAAAAGTGTCCCAGGTACTATGATACACTTCTTACTGCTGTGTCCATGCTTGCCAGTCCCAGTCCTGAGAAAGCTTGAGACTTTTTGGGGGTTTTCTTTGCTTTCTAACCCTCCCAACTTACATTCACAAAGCAGTTTCGAGAAAAGTCTAATTAATGCAATATTCTCCTCAAAAGTAGTCAGTCATCCAAGACATTTGGTATCTGAAGTTAACTTGTACAGTTCAGCACTGCAGTTATGAGGCTAATACATAGTTAACACACAACAGAAGCTCATGATCACCAATCAGATTAGCCAGTTAGCATTGCGCAAACTGCCTAAATCATCAAACATTTGTCTCAGACTGCATTGAGTTGTTACAGTAGGCTTGGTTATGTGGTTTCTGACACTGTAGGTCACACATAGGACACAGTGAAGGCTTCACAGTGTCTGCTAGTACTGTTTTAAGCTAGGTGACATTTGCCTGATTTTGTAGAGTTTGTCGTACAATGTCAGACACCACATAACCAAGTCTATATGAGGTTACTTAAAGGGGAATTCCACCAATTTTGAAGAATTCTGTATAATTCAGTCCTCAATATGCAAACAGAGTCATTCAGAGTGGTTTGCTGAGAAATGGTTCATTGTAGAGAAACTTATCAACTCAGTGGTGGAGATGGGAACCAGGGCTCGCCATGTCTACAGCACAAATATAGCCATTTGATGATGGTGATGAACCATGATGATAAAACAGTCAGAAATCTGAATCTGAAATAAAAAAAATTTAGGCAGTATTTTGCCTTAGAACACCATTTGTGTATCCCCCCATCATGAACAGATTAAGATAAATTTATTAAAATACATCTTAGGCTACAATTTTATCACAAGGCAACCATAAAAAATGTCTCAGACATCAGGCCATAACCATTTCATGTCATAACTTTCTGTGAGGGAGCCTTTAGAGGCATTAAACTTTTCAGACATCTGGTTCCCATCACCACCACTGTGAACAGTTCTGAGTCGGCAAGTTTCTCTAAAATGGAGCATTTCACATCAAACCCTTCTGAATGACTTTGTTTACATCTGACCATTTAATTATGAAGGATTTTTTTTTTAAAGGGGGTGTTCCCCTTTACCGCAATGTGGTTTGAGGCCTCTGTGATGATTTAGGTATTGCAATTTCTGCAATGCTAATTGGAGAACTAGCTTCTATTACATGTTAGCCAGAGATATTCACAAGTAGCTTTATGTGAGTCTGAGCCAAGTCTCGAGTCTCTGAGGTGTGAGTCTGAGTCGAGTCTCGAGCCTTTAGTAGAGAGTCTTTTTAAATAACAAGCCTTTCATTGCAAAAAAAAACCTTCAGTCTAAACAGCAGAACTGAAGTGCTACATGCAGTCAATACAGTGCCTAAAATAAAGAGGCAGAACAAGTTGAAATAGCCGGTTAGTCTGCAGTTTGTATGTTTTCTAGTTAGCGTAATGGCTAATCCAGCTGAAGTTTCAGTAAGTTGTAAATGAGTGTGATCTGTACTTTAATAAAACTTTGTCTAGATCAGCTGGCAACTTAAGCTGAATTAGCTACCTATTGCTAGTTTTTCCTCTGTCCTTTAAACACTGTAGTACTTTGTTCTTTTTTTTCGCTGTTTATCTTTCCTGATTTCTGCCTCTAGGCCGTGTGTGTCAGGCTCCAGTCCTCGCAGCCCAAAAAACTGCAGACTTCAGCACACTTCCTCATTAAACACACCTGAATTTCAAAATGAAAAGTTGGGCTGGAACTTGGCTTATATAGATATTTTACTTATTAAACAAAAAAATTGTATTGTGGCAGTGACTTAAGTTGCCAAGGTAACAACGTAAATTCACTACAATACCCAGAATTCAATGCCCTCAAATCCCCTACATATGTGCATGACCATAGTAAAGCTGAAAGACAAAATCATGCAAAATTTGGAAACAGAACTTTTTTGTTTATTTGTTTACTGCATTGATATCGGAGGTCCTAATTCAATCCGTGTTGTATGCGCTTTTTTTTCATCTGGCTAAAATTTTGCGAGTTATATGTCTCATAAACTCTCTAGTCTCTCAAGTCAGTTAACAGTGAGTCCGAGTCAAGTCATGAGGCAGGTCTACATGCGACTTGAGTGCGACTCGAGTCTGAATCGCTGACTCGAGTCCCTATATTTGTTGTTAGCTACATTAGCCTCATGGCTCCAAATAAGCAAGCGTCTGTGACAAAACATCTTGGCTGATTGATTATTTTGGGTGTGTTGAAGATTTTTTAATTGCTTTAAGGTCTTTCCACTTTTGCCTGATCGTGTTGTTGCTTTTGATGACAATATCAGGTATGATATAGTCTCAGATTCAGCACAACCTCATTTAGGTCACTAGATATGTCACTCTATAAACACATCTGTACACTATATGTCAGCTAGAGAGGTATAACCTCCCCCAGCACTGGGCTGTGGAATCTGAGTGATGGAGCACCGTCCATGATTCCCTTAGGCTCATGTGCAGCCACTCCAGGGTGCCCCATTCTGTTCTAGCTGTGTTTCCTCAATTGCATGCCTGTGTCAGCAACGGGTGCACCTTAAAGTAGCTGAATTCACTAATTATAAGAGGTGACTTTGGACATATAACCTATCTGTTTTTATCTACAAAAACACCATGGAATCACCCAGACTGTACTAAGCTGATATCAGTGTCTGCCTTCCAGTCTATGCACTTGTTTCTCTTTCTCTCTGTCGCTCTCTGTCTTCTTTCCGCCTTTCTGTCTCTGCTTATTTGGTTTCAGCTTTTCATCTACTTGATGTTTGATGTCTTTTTTATCCTTTATTTCTCTGATCATGCACATGTTTTCTTCTTATTCTGATCTTCTTTTTATCTTGATGTAATGTGCCTCAGGGAACTGTACAGTTACTCAGTCATCACGTATCATCCTTTATTTTATCTCTTTTTTTCATCTGGGCTACCGTCCATGCATTTCTGTTTGCATATAGCTATATATTTGTATGCAAACAAAAAACAGCTGTAGGTGTAAATTAAAGGCTGTGTTGAGAAAACCTGACGATCAATATGGTCGGATGGAAGTAGGAGCGTCAAGAACAACCCTGAGGCTAAAGCAATCAACACACACACAGACATACACCTTGCCAAAGCAATCAGCCACTGCAGCTGCAATTAATGTCAGCATTACAGTGAAAGATGTCCTCTGCCCATCTTCGCCAACACCTACACGCACACACACGCACCACACACACACATTCCAGCCCATCCCTATTGAACTCTTGCATAACCTCCATAGGAGGTCTAGAGAAAAGCTTGTCTTGCTTCTTTTTTTTGCACTAGAATAACTGAAATAAGGGCGTGTTGAAGTAATGTACACATCTCAAATATTCTCAGATTCGACTTTCATATCGGAATAAAGTGTTCTCTGTAGAGGATGTTTTAATTTATTTTTCACTTAGGGAATTAACAAAACGTCATTTGACCAGGGGCGGACAAACTTTTGCAAACGACTGTATATGGTGTGTATGATATGTAGACAGAAACTGTGCAAAGCCAACAGTGATCAGTTTGATAATAGGCCTGTTAGGGAAGGGACATGGTCAGATCGCCCCCTGCTGTTCGCACTCAAAACGTAGATTAACGATGAATTGGAGATGCTGCAGATTACAGGCTGTATAACATAACATGCCATGACATGATATATTCAGTTATATTTGATACCGTACCAATGTGCTGAGTGAGTACGGCCAGAAATGTACTCAATGCAAGTGTGCGAATGCAAATGACAACACCCAGCTAACACATTGCAAATGCATGGCCCTTTAGTACAAACTCACTGTATGTTCTTACATGCGAACACTCGGTACTCAAGGGGGCGATAGAGGACAAATCAGAACAGGATCTGCTATTTTTCCAACAGCTACAATAACTGCACATGCGGACAGTAGAGGACTGTAAACTGCTTTGATTTTTGTATTGGAATGAAAAAAGCAGTGATGTCGCTGTTGGGACAAAACCTTTTATCTTCAAAATGGTAACTTTATAACTTTAAAAGGAAAAAACATTCTTAACATGTAATGAACGCTAATGTAACACATTAACACCTAAGTATTCTGGTGTATTTCTGTTGGACCATTCATCACAATGAATGAAATTTTAACACAATGCAAATCGGAACTGGACCTTTTAAATTATGGCAAAAAAACAAAGATATTTGCTTGACAGCAACAATATAAATGTGTATGCAACCATTTTTTATGAGACCCATACAACTGCTCTGCATGACAGCTGAGTGGGAGAAAGCACATCATTGGTACAAGACAATTTTGTCATGTTTGGCTGTTGCTCATGTGATGCCCTTGCTTATTTTAGAATGTAATGATGCTTTAATGTACCTAATCAAAGAGATTCATTACTTTCTCTTTTTTTGTTTAGTGGAAAAGTGTAAAACATGCATCCATTTTTGTCAGCACCAAAGCCAGTTTAAGGGGAGCCTAGCCTATTCCTATTTCTCCCTTTATATAAAAAGACATGACGACAAAACCCTGCAGGGTCCCCACTAGCGAGTGCCCAATGAATGAATGGAGTTAAAAGGCTAAAAATGATAAATAAATGTTTTTCTAGCCTTTGAGGATTTAATTCCCTTTCAATTTTAAAAGTAAGCAAATGCATAACAATTAAAAAATAAATGAAAACTTACCAGTGTCTTTCCATTTTTCTACAGCAAACAGGTTTTGTCAAGTAGCTAAAATTATTGCTAAAGATTTCTTGTTGGTTGACAAGTTGATCAGCTCATTAGCTAAGTAAAGCTAGCATCATGATTGTATATAATACAGTTTGACACAAAAGCTTCAGAGGAACCCATTCATTTTGGACTCTGTAGACTACCAAGTGGCAGTTCTTCTTACTACAGATTCTCTGGGAGCACTTCATTGAGTAACATTGGGCCAGTTTGCTAGGTGCTGATACAGTAACACACTTAATTTATATTTTAATCTTCACAGTTACACTTCTCACGGAAAATTCTGGTA